GAGTATAAGTGTTGTTAATGATTGATACTAGTGTTGGTTGAATTTCTATCTCGTTGTCACGATAATAGGGCATCGTCCAAGTCGTATTGTTAGGTAATTCAGTTCTTAATGTTGTTTTCTGAATGGTTTTTGGTGGAATTTCAATGACATAATGATCAAAATCTCGCCTATATTGAAATGGAATTTCCAGATATTGGTTAATCTTTCATTTCCTATGTCAATGCCTAACTTTAGTTTACGAATGTCTTTTATTCCTAGGATTCCGTCGAAATATTCGTGAAAAGGGTAAAGTATAAATTCTATCGAATCTGTTATGCCAAAGCATAAAAATAAGGAAATTTTTGCTTTACTTGTAGCTTTCTTTGACCCTGCACATGTATGTAGTGTACTTACATAAGGTTCGATTAAATTTGGAAAATGTGTTTCCGCTATTGATGGTCTAAGAAGAGAAGCATGTGATCCAGTATCAATGAGTAATCGTATGTTATAATTAGGAATTTCGATATAGGGTAGCTGATTGATCTGCATACTGTTTAAACTTAAACATGGTTGGTTTTGTCCGAGGCTTGTAAATGAAAATTTTCAAGCTGATCTATTACACTTTCTTCTGAGGGTAACATCGAAGGTGATTGATTATCTTCAAGGTTTTCAGTTTCAAACGATGAGTCATCCTTAGTATTGTCAAATTCGGGTTGGTAATAATCATCACTAACTTCATTTTCAAGATGTGTTAACTCTTGGAAAGTGAAATTGGGTTTCCTCGTCTGTTGGAAATGATTGTAAGGTCTGTACTGAGGTTGAGGTTGGTATTGAGGACCTGGTGGAGTTAGATTTCGTTTTATGGTACTTACACCGGACATGGGTTGTGGAAATTGTTGTTTTATTTGTGGAAATTGTTGTTTTGGTTGTGGGAATTGTTGTTTTAGTTGTGAAAATTGTTGTTTTAGTTGTAGAAATTGTTGAGGGTTTTGGGGTCGGAATTGTGGTTTTTGGAATTGATTTTGAGGTCTAAATGAGCTTTGAGGGTTGAAAGAGTTGAAAAGCCTTTGAGTGCTTGCAACGGCTTGATTAAAAGGTTTATTAATTGGTTCATTATGGTTCTGTAAATAGCTATTTTTGAAAGTTTGGCTTGTCAAAATTTCAAAGTTGGTAATTATATCAATTGCACTGTTCAAATTTTGTGGGTTTTGAACGATTAATAAGGTTCGCAATTCACTTCAAATATTTGCTAGTAGGTTTTGTGTTGCGGTAAGTTCATTTTGGGAAATCAGTATAGTTCTTGCTTCTGCATTCATAACTTCTGCACATATTTTTGTATTGATTTTAGTAAAAAGATATTTTAATTTTTGAATATAATCTTGTGTAGTTTCATTAGTTTTAGAAAGAAATAGTAGTTGTTGCTGCAAGTTAGCTCTAGTTATGGGGTCGCTGAACTTTTGTTAAAGTGCATTTTTAATTTCGTCCCAAGTTTGAAGATCTGGGCGAGTTAAACGAAAATCTTCAGCAGCACCTAATAGTTTAGATTTTATTGCTAAAGTTACATATTCTTCCTGTGAGGGGTCAGCATTAAAGTAACGTGTATGAAAAGTATTAATTTGATTTACAAAAGATTCCAATCTCAGTGGGTTTCCATCAAAAGTTTTGACAATCAAAAGTGTGACAGTTGATCTTAATTATTTTCTAAACTACTTCTTATATTACTATTATCGATTTCTTCTAATTGAAGCGGAAAATTTGTAGAAATCTCCGAATATAAATTAGTTAAATTCGAGGTAAAATCTTGATTTGAAATAATTCTTCGTTTTGGATACGATACATCTTTTTTTTACAAACTTCCTTTTGGATATTTCGCCAGACAGAATTTCCTCACGTCTTTTATTACAGATTGATAAATAGTGCTCCTATTTCGCAATAAGAACAAATTATTTATCAAAAAATAATCAAGAACTATCACCTAGAGGGTATCCTGTGACACACTTAGGCTCAAGCTGTAAGAGAAAATTCCAATTAGTAAAGAAATTTATTTGAAAAATTACCTTGACGTTTCGATAGCTATTTTCTGCTATCGTTATCAAAAGAACCTAAATGAACCTAAAAAAGAGTATGTTAATAAATTGTGTAACAATAGTAGGATAATACAGTATATGAAAATTCGCTCTGATAATTAGTCTGTGCAAATTGTCAGATTATATATATCAAATCATCACTGCTAACATGTCCCGTCTGGCTTCTTCGTTGTGGCGAACCAGAAAGCGATGTATGCCAGGAGTCACAAGATGCGCTGCGTTGGTCTTTCTTCAGAATCCTTCCTTAACTGTTGACACAGAGGGTGCTACTTAAACCAATTATGTGAACTTCACAAACTTCGCTCTCATGAACTCCGAAATTTCACTAAATCTGAATTTTAATTCGCACTCCGAAAGGATGCTACCGACTGCGCCAATTTTGTTCTTAATTATGCAACTTCGCTTTTTAAAAACTTTATTTTACAAACGAAATTACATGGAACATACACCAAGCAAGTGATCTTAATGACTGATTTGCATACGCAAACCTTGCCGTATAAATAGGAAAATAGATGCTGACTTGACAAAGTTGTTCTAGTTAACATTGCATCATTGGAAATGGCCATATAACTTCAGAGAGAATTGTAAATGTTTTAATAATGAATCGGGGTGGGTGTTTTTTTTTATCTTAAGACGCTAAAATATTTTGAAAATTAGTGACCATACTAACAAATGTTTCAAATACGAAGTTAATATCTGAGAGGAGGAACTTTATTCGTGTTAGAAAAAACGCCTTCTTCGATCTTTTAGGCTAGGCAGGGGCCACCTTGATCATTTCAAATAGTAACCACATAATTTTTTTTTTCCTGGTGAGGTTTGGGAAATGCTCTTTTATGCACTCCCAGAGCTGGTTGTGTGGGACTCCAGCTAAGCTGTTTACCCACTAAAACCCTTTCCTCACCGTCGAGGTGGTGTTTGGCCTTGCACCGCGGTCATTTCTACGCTATTCTGCTCTCGTAATTTTATTCCCTCATTATCCCTGTGGATTCAATAAATTCCAGAATAATATTGAACGGGGTGCGCATGACCTGGTCTGGTAATCCTGCCTCTTTATGAGTTCTCCCTGCTGAGGAGAAAAGTTCTTCTCGGGATATCCGACCGCCGCTATGGCCATCTTAATCCGGGAAACCGCAACCTTGCACGACTTGTGTGTAGTTCCTTCCTACACGGAAGTTCCCACATACAGCCGCCCAGCTGCTGGCTTGTTAGGTATCTGCCATCCGACCGGTGTCGCTTTTGCGTCCCGGTCATGGCAGCTTTTTTGGGATGCGCTGGTTTCGCTGAGGGTCTACCTAACACAGTTTTAGTGGTTTTTCCGCCTGGATCCCCCGAGAGTTTTTTACCATCCTTCGGTACTTTGCCAGCTGCGGAGCCCGACGATTCTTCTGAGGAGGTCCCGCCGGTATTTTGTGGTGTATGATGGTGGTGTTTTCCATCCACACAGAGCCCCGCATGTGTGGGTAAGGCTGATACAATTAGGTGCGCCTGTTGCCTCAAGGTGAGTCGCTTTTGGCTGGGTTTCCCCCCAGCCTTGCATCTCTTGGCGCCCACTATACCGTGAGAATTGGGAGGTGTTATAGTAGCCTCGTCACGCGATCCGGTTAGTAAAATCAAGATCCCTGCGCCCCCTACAGTACCTATCCCGAGGCCGTAGCCACGATAGTCGCTGCATTGCAGGCGGTTTGCGGTTTGTGCCACGAGCTGGTCCGCGGCGACGGCTTTCGGTCCAGATCCGGGGGTTTTATTCCACGGCTTTCACTTATGGCCGTCGCTAACCGGTCAGACGTATCTGACCGGCCTTTCCCCTATCCGCCACCTGGGGACGCGCCCGATGGGTCGCTCAACCTGCACGGGAACCACAACCAGTTCTCCTACAACAAGGAACAGTTCTACTACAACAAGAAACCAATTTACTGGTGCCCTTCTTGTGCAAGATGCTCCGGGCCAGCTTGGCCCTGGCATATATACCAATGGAATGGAGAATGGCGAAAGTAGTATTTATTCCAAAACCACAACACCCTTCTTACTCAAAACACTAGAAAAGCTGATCGACAGACATATCAGGGAAGAGGTTCTTACTAGAAGTCTTCTACACCAGAACCAATATGCCTACCAAATAGGAAAACCCTGCGAATCTGCTGCAGGTTCGAATATTACGTCAAAAACTGAGAATGCTTTATCTAAAACAGTTTTTTCGATTTTAACAGGTGCGCTCTATGGGGCCAAATAAGAACATCTGGGTCAAAATAAAATAGCGAACCTTAGATATGACTTACGAGCCTCATTTTTACGTTTTGTCAAACGTTGGTAGACTGATACAGATTAATGAAAAATTATTCAGAATACCACAATGTATCCGCCCACATGTGGGTATAATCTTATAAATCCCAGCTGAGACGTCTACAATTGACGCCATTAATGCTCGTATGCACCGACAGACTTTAATCGCGATTAAGCCTTAAACCGGTTTAAAAATCGTAAATGGTATGCACCGTCGACTGTTTTGACCTGAAACGCGTTTAACTTTAATCCGCCAACCTCCGAGGATTAAGTTCTTAAACTAGTTTAAATACATAACATAACCTTTGAAATTGAGGGTTTTGTTATAGATAAAGACGGTGTTTTGTGAAAGTAATAAATGAAAATGGAAAGTTTACAAAAGTGTTATATTTTGAACCCGGACATACTGTAGTTAGATCAGCGCTGCTCAAAGTGCGCGCCGGTGCTCCGCAAAGCCTGCGGTCGGGCTCCGCCGGCAATAAAATTAATACATGGATTAAAGAGAAATCTATAAGAATAAAGTTACCTAAGATAAAAATAAACTATCGAAAAAAAGCTTACTTATAGATTTCACGGGTACATAATAATACAGCGTAATTCACGTAGCCCGTTTGCTATAGAAAATTTTTAATTTTCCGGAAATATTATTAATATGAAATTTGGTAGGCCCCATAACCGGTTGCTGCGGGTCTAAATATAGTATTTTTCAAATGACGGCACTTCAGGAATTACGGCAAATCCACGCCATCTCGGTTTTTTTAATGGAAAGTTCCCATTTTGATTTCAAATTTGGATTCAGCTTTAAATTGTGAGTTCAGAATGTCAATTTGTCAACACTTATCTGTCACAGTTTTTGACTTATGCCATTTTTGCCAAAAACAGGGTAGCAGCGGTTCATTAAAAAAATTTGTTTCCTGAACCATTGCAAATAAATAAATAATAATAAATTATCTAATTCAATTCCCAAAGGTTTGGCAGACATTCTTCAACGATTTTGACACTTTTGTTATATTTCATGCTTCTACAGGGATTTTCCAAAATTGCACAAGAAAAAAAATAGCAAAAACTTTTTAAATAGCAACTACTATTTCTGACTCCAAAAATAAATGTAAAATTGAATTTTAAGTCCACTTTTATTAACATTGTGTACCTTCATCTGTGTAGCCAATTTGTTGACAAATAATGTAATACAGAATAATAATATTTAAAGTTGTTCACGTGTTTAGCAGTAGATCCTAATTGCTTAACCGTAGAGCGGTAGCTCTCCCGAAAACGGTAAACCTACCGTAAAAACGGTAGACCTGGCAAGCCTGAACATAACTTCTTCGATCAGCTGAGGGACGCGATAACTGCGCGCTCACGGCCACAAAATATCCCCCCCGTAGGGGGTATGTTCTGTGCTCACGGCCTGAGCAAAGAATAAAAACGTAGAACCAGTGTGACCAGATTTCCGTAAGCATTCCGCCCCTCCCGAGCTCCTTTGTCGCCTAAAGTCGCAACTGCTGTGGCGACAATCGCAACAGTGTTGAAACGTTGCGACAACACCGTGTAACACGTCACTGGCGACCCCCTAGCATGTCTATGACAATTTCAAAGGGTAGTTTAGGTATTTAACCACCACAAATGTTTGCATGGCCACATTTTAGAATACAATACTGTCAACAAAACACCTCATTATAAAAAGTATGCACATACTTTGTATTTGCAGACTTTAATGCCTTTTTTAAGCATTAAGCATTAAGCAACTTTTTAAAACCACGACTAAAGAGATAATGATTTATCTCCTTAGACGAGGAAGTGAGTTTAAACATGATTAGGAAGCAAAATAGTAATTGGGTTTTTACAGAAATAAAATTAAAATAAATAATATTGTCTTTACGAAACAAGAAAAGCCGGCGTAACAAGTTTAATTGATAATAGCACACTTAAATCGAATTCTAATAAGCTTAGGAAATAGGACAATTCAAAATATTTCACTGCAAAAATCCAAAACTTCCTCGTATTTTTCTGATGTTTGCGTTGAAGTATCTTCATATGTTTTTGATTTAAATCTATATATCATATCGCTAGTGACCTTAAAGTTTTTACAAACAAATATTGTTTACTTAAAAGTTAAAAGTGAAACTTAACAATCTTGATTGAATTTAAAAGAGTCCACATTATTTGATTTCTAATTTTTGATTTAACTACGTTCATGATTGAAAATGTACGTTCTACGACTGCATTTGATGACGCCATCCTTCATTAAATCGTTTTTTGCAGTTATTACCTTTTTTCAGCATGTAAAACTAACGGATCGGATAATTTTTGTTGGTTTGCAAAATTTATTGGTAATTCGGAAAATGTCGGTCTTATTTGACTTAAAATAACATGAGGATTGCACATCTTTATTTTTCGAAACACATCTAACGGGATGTGCATTTTTTTGATCAGCTTCTTCAAAAGAACTTTGATGAATTCTAAACATTTATTCCTTAAAATTTGGCAGACATGAAAGGATAATTTAAGATTATTTAATTCAGTAGAAAATTGAAAATCAAAATTATAATCATCAATGCCTAAAAAAATTTGCTTATATTTTTTTGAATCGGTTAATAATTCTACATTACTCTCAAGACCCATTATTATCGCGGGTTTTAAAATTTGCGAGCTAATAATCAAATCATGGTATTGACATCTGGAAATGCTTAATATTAGTCAATGTTAGTATTTTGAAAATACAAGTTTAGCAAAAACAACTGCTTCAAAAAAGGCCGCAAAAATATTATTACAATTTGATTGATTTTATTTTTATACAAGGTGATTCAACATTGGCGCCATTCCTTTTAAGTGGTGATAGAGGCTCACTTAGGAGTACAAAAAAAATATTGAAACATTTTTTTGACAGTTGAAGATCGAAATTCAACTTTTTTATTAAGCATTATTTTGAAATTGTTCCATGTTTAATTGCTAGCATGTTGAAATACTTAAGCATTCAAAAAAAAAATTACAACCTTTCCTTCAAAATGCGAAAATTTTTTATATCAAAAAAGTTCTCTTCTACAATTTTTTGCTGAAAAGTCAAAGCGGCAATGCTGTTTTTAGCACAATTCAAACCATTTTTTTAACCATTCAAATGTTTGGGTTGTATGGTTTATTTGTAAGCACCAATTCGAAGTTATGAGAACAGGTTGACATTTCGAAAGTTCGTTCCGCAGTCAACGAATCTTGTTGAATTTACCGTTTATCCTTGTCTATATTATTGTCACTCTGTATAATTCCATGGTTACCGGAGGTTTAAATAATTACGAAGCAACAGGTATTTGCGCAATGTTAATTAGGCAGATTACCTTGAAAAACATTGCTGCTGTATTTCTGATATAGTTTTTTGCAAATTGCTCAGTTTTTAATAACAATTAATTTCTTTTACTATTTTTTCTGTACTCCTATAACATCGCCAGACAACACCTCCAGAGGAATGACGAATTTTAAATCACCCTGTATGTGTGGCTATGTGCATCACTCAAAAGTTTTGCTGTATGGCATTTTTCTTTGTCTGCATTTAATGAAAAGAACGTTTCAAGCTGTAAATACTAGTTAAAAATTTTATCTTAATCCTAATATCTTATCTTAATATTTTATATCAAAATTTTCTGAAATTTGAATCATCAGTATTTATGAGGCAATAAATATCTTTATATTTACTAACCCGAATAGCACTATTTGTAAACCAGTTATATGTTTTTCTTAGAAATTTCTTAGAAGAAATTCTACTTCATTAGAAAATATTTCTGAGAGAGACCTTTGAAGCACACAGTTGCAAGCTATGACCAATAATATAACATATATATAACAAATTTGATTAATGCTAAACACTTTGTTCTATGAAGCTGAAGATAATTTGTTAATGGTTAATTCATTTACTATATCTGTTAAATGATCAATACTTCTTATTGAAGTATGCATAGCAACATAGCTAGTCAACATCAATTCTTTTTGCTTCCGTATGGTGTTCAGGTGTTCAACGTAGTAATTCCTAAAATGTTATACAATATGTGTGTAAACTACAATTGTAAATGCAGTTTTTGATAATTACTATTTGTTCATTGAGTTTTTGTCATTACATTTACAAGATACTTTAAATAGATTTAAGTATTTAGCAGGCAAATCGTAATAAAAGGCCAAAACTATACCAACCAGAAATAGAAATTTCCCTTGATCCCAAGTCGCATTAAAGCAATTCTAGCATCATTATACAAGGTGTATTAGTTCACAAGGTGTATTATGACATTATGATTATATGATGATATTATTATTCACAATTCATGAGGAAATGGTATTATTTTAACCACGTATTCTAAGTTCTAAAATAACCCTTGCTTGCTATACAGGGTGTCCCACTGGAAACCGCCGCAATCGATATCTGGCAAACTGTAGTTAGGAAAAATTTCAAAATTGGACAGTGTGCCGAAGTCATTGGGGGTAAGCGATCTAAAATATTTTCAAGATGACCACACTTGCGGATATACCGGAAGTAGGTGTCAACTTGCTTATTTTAAATGGAACACCGTTTATATTATTACATTTTTGGGTTCTATTCCAAATTCGAAAAATATTTCATGTATAATATGTTATACCTAAGTCTAACCGTTTTTGATATATTTGAAATTTTATGTAATACATGACAGATGCAGCCACTCGAATAATTATTCATTTTTCATATAAAGCAATATCTGATACTTAATTTGAGTCGCATCTCGTGTTGAAAAAGACATAATTTAATGGAATTGCGAAAATATTTTGAACACTATTAATACAAAGCGTTAAAAAAATAAGTCTCAAAATACAGGTGAGAAAACCGCCCGAAATCAATTTTTCAAGTGGAAACCCCCATTTTTGATAATTTTGTCATATTCAGTATTAAAAATAAGTGTAAGTTTGTGTAACGATGTCTATTCCAAAAGTGTATAATTTTCGAAATATGAAATACTGTCACTCTTAGTTGCGATGACGAACGTGCACATTCTTAATACAATCAAACGCCAAATAAATACTTGCAGCTATCAGTAACCTGTTGAAAATAATTAAAAATCATGCCCAGACGCTTAAATTATATATTACGCTTGAATAGTCAACGAATACGCACGTTTTGCAATAAAATAATTTTTGGGAAATTTTGCCATTGGCCTTCGCTAAAGAAAAAATGGTGCGCCACCTATATTTTTTAATTGTTACAATTACTTTCCAAATTCCTTTTTGCATCCTTTTCAAATAAAAAATATACTATAGAATACGTGGTTAAAATAATGCCCCTTCCTGATAAAACACCTTGGATATGCCTGTCATGCATCGATAAATCGATTACCATCATTAGGTACCAAAATTTTTCAGTCAGTTGATTTTTAGTTAATGGTACCATTTTTTGTTTATGTTTAGTTGTCTTGTTATGCTTTTCCAAACCTGCTCTATGAGGTCTTAATTATGTCTTTCAAATTTTGGAAAAACTTGCAGTTTGATCCATTACAATAACTAATATGTACCGTATTCGGGGTGAAGTCGGACTGGTCAATATTTTTTCAAGATCAATTGATGCACTGCGTAAAAAATATCCAGTCGTTATATTCCCGTTAGGAAAGTTCCTAGACTCATTAATATATTACTTATACATTTTCGCCATATAAATTCCCTATGAAACACAGGGTAAGGATTTTATGAATTATATTTATTTCCTTCGGAATTTGAAAATTATAAAAGAGACTGTTACACACAAGAGAATATCTACTAAAAACAAAAAAATAAGATGAGTTATATCACAATATAATAATTAAAATTATTAGTACACCCCATGACAATTTCATTAGAAAATATTGTTTTTGTCTTAAATAATTGTGTTTTAGTAAAAAAAAGTAATTTTAACGCTTTTATATAAAGGGTCGACCGTCTTTAGTATACTCTGCCGCGGGTATGCTCCATACATAAGAGTAAAGGTAGACACCCTATATATAGAAAAAAATAGGGGGGAATAAAAAGTTCAATTGTTTGATTATGGAATTCGATAAAGGATACACGGAAGACTCTAAATTATTTTATTGAAAATTTTCTTTTCAAAATTATACTCCTTTTTCAAACCGAACGACGGTAGTTTATATTCCAAATGAATAATGTGGGTATTCGTCTCACCTCGAAATAGAGTTTCCTGCTCGCATTGTCTTTTATCTGGCCTTGAATATTTCCCCCATTTACCCATTTTTCCTTCTATCTCTAAAAATTAACTAATGTCATTTTCACCGGCAAAATTTTAAAAATGTGAATGAGTACACAAGAAACTTTATTTTGTCCCAAAATAAAAATCAATAGTTGAAACCGCGCGGTAGAAGGTTTTCACTTGAGGTAAAATTTTTGCTTTGTCAATATTCCAGCAAAGCGGAAAGGGTTACCGATTCTTGTCTACAATTTTTACCTTCTCGTAAAACGCTTGTAAAGGTTCTACAACATACACCTTTTCATACTGGAATTAATAATCATATGTTCCAGCATTTAAAGGTACGAGTGAGTACGTAACATCTGTATCGTATCTGTATTGGTAATTGTACTAAATTAATGAAGTTGTTATTTTACTTTGAATTAGGAATTTGTTTAAGTTCTGACCTTTTGATTCATAACATGATTTTGCTTGAGCAAATGTTTCTGGTTTCTATAAGAAACACCTTTCACAAATTAATGGTACTTGGCGTTTCGCTATTTAATGCAAGAAAAATTTGTAAATGCTTATGGAGTTTTTATTATCAACATATTCAAGCATCTATGGCTACGCCGAAATACTTCAATTGAGATTAGGAGTATATTTATGTTCAATTTTATATATTTGTTTATAAAGCAGAAACAAATCTGGCCTTTGTACAAATATATCGAAACTGAATATTAAACATCTTTTAATCGCAATTGTAGTATTGGCTCGCCGACAATAGCAAATCCTGAATACACAGTAGTAAGCACGCAAACCCAGCATCCCAGCAATGACGTTAGTTAGTTGTGAACAGCAATAGATGGTGACAGTGTCAGTGAAAAACCTTGTTATCATTTTGTGCAAGGGATTGCGCTATCTATACTTGTCTTTATCTATGACACATCTATGAGTGATGATAACCATAGATCTGTATCGCGTCTGTGATTTCTGAAAACTAATTTTATACCTTGTAATTACCTATCTAATTAGTAAGTGGCATCAAGTGAAAGTGCGAGAAATCCGAAGAAGTTTACCAGCAGCATCAAGATAGTTCGTGAATTGAGGTTAAAGCTCAAGATAGCTAATGGAAAAAATAAATTCTTCAATCCCTGGAACTGTACTAAGTACACATAATGGTAATTTGCTCACTTCTTCCGGGATAATGTCCCTGGACCCGCTGTTAGGTACGTATCACAGACGTGAGACTGTCACAGATCTTTAAACACAATACAGTTTGCATTTTCCTAATTGTCATTCAATTATTTTAGAATTTACTACACTTCGTCTTTAGTTTAAAACTATCAATATAGCGGAAACACACTTTCAAAGAATGATGAAACTGGCGTAACGTAAACAATTCCGTCTGAGAGAGTTGCTAAACCAGCACAAAGCGTTTCGTATAGTAGAAATTGTTATGAAGATATATTACAGCTTTCAAAACATTTTAAAATGGTGTTCTAGTTTCTATCCACTTCGGGTTTGTCGGCAGTCGAGGTAATTCTTAGAGACATTGGGCTTTGGTGTGCCCTTTAAAACTGTGCTAATCTAATAGATAATATTTTTATTAACTTTTCTTAGTGGTGTTTTGCGCGAATTAGGTTTCGCCCACTTTTTACTCATTAAAATTAACTACTTTTTCATAAGAGAACAAAGGACGCCATTGACACGGTCAAACAGGTCGAAAATGTTTGCTCATTTGCGAATTCTACATTTTCTTTGGCCTTCAAATCGTTTTAAATGCATTTTGTAGGTATTTAGATTAGATCGAGTAATGTATTTACTTTTTGTTAATTTTGGTTTGTATTGATTAGTTGGGTTTAGTGTTTTTTCTTTTAATAATACTTTCAAGTAAATAATAAGGAATAAATCATAATAATTTAAGGAACATAATAAAATTACAAATTCACTCGAGGACGTCACATCAGAAAATATTTAAGAAATTGTTCACTGATCAGTTCAATACAATTTTGACATCATCTAACTAATTAATTTCGACCAATTTTTATAGTTTTCATTAATAAGAAACATCACCGATTGATGTGATTTTATACCGTTTTATTGTTTTTACTTCAACGCACTGAGTTGTACCTACAATTACATGGCCACTTATGCCGACTATTCTTATAAATTATGACGTAGTATCGTTTCTGCTAGGATCAGCATAATTTAACGATAAAAGAAGCCCCAACAGAAACGAGAATTCAGTCATTAGATCTTTGGTCAGAAGTTATAAGAATTGAGCCTAAACATTTTCAGTCTACGGTTCATTCTTTCTATAATAATAAAAATATTCTAATACATATAACGATTATCACAATTATTGTTACAATTAGTATCAATGAGATACTTCCTTGAGTAATACTCAATTTCTTGTAATTCAATTTTATGCATTTATCCATAAATTAAATATGAAGAAATGTAATTCTTTGCATCTTTCAAGTAGTAGTGAATGTTTTGAAAATCCATTTCATTGATGTGTAATGGCTCCATTTTCTCGATTAATTTTTAATTTATTACAAGTTTTGGTAGCTTTAGCCTTAATGCCCTTAATCTGAATGTATCTGGTTTTTGAAACAACTTTTTCTTGTGGATTTAAAGATTCATCTACTTATTTTAATAAAGGTTTTTCAATCACATTATTTGTTCGTTAATTGGAATAGGGATACTGTTGCACGCAATTGCAATATCATTGGACTAGGTCACTTTTAATCGTTAGGTCGATGCAACTTTGTGGTATTTTACGATCGTGTCGAAAAGTATTCGCGTTTCAAAATTTCATTTGTAAATCATCTTTTCAGGTTCACGATATCTGAGATCATCACTATGATTAATTATTTTCCTGCGAATTTAATTTAATTGTTGTCTTAACGTTTGTCTGAATGGCATTAATAGGGCGGACATTGATTTCGAGACTGTCTAGTAATATGAGCGAATACGCCGCAATACGAGTAGACTGAACTTTATTTGAGATTTTGTTGATTTTGAATTTCTACCAGGTTCATATTAACACTAGAGAATTGCGTCTATGTCTTTTGCTAAACGTTTAACATTCGTCTGGGCTGCAATGAGGTCATTATTTTACGTATTCCGATTTTCTTGAAGAATGTTTATGTAGTTTTCGAATTTTTCTCCATCGTCAGCGTGTAGACTTCCGTAGAGATATTTATTAAATTTCCAAATAAAATTGAATAATCTTTTTTTTTGTTCTGTAGTCCCTATTTGTACGAACAATTCAGTTGTTCTTGAAAAGTATACGAAGAAATTGAATTATATTCGGTGTTAATGAAGAGTGGAATCAAAATCCAGATGATTTTTACTTTTGAATCTTTTTGATGTTGTCCATGTTTAAAAGTTTGAATTTTGTATTTGCGATTTAGATTTTTAGAAATTTTATGAAGTGTATTTATTAATTGTTTGGATTTTTCTGATATTTCGGGGTAATCGTAGCGATTTTGATTTAAATTTGACAAAACGTTTCCTTTCTTGGAAACGTTCAAAACAATTGATGTTTGAATGGATAATTTCTTTGAAAAAGTTGATACCTAACTTGTAAGTCCATTGATAGTGCTTCTAGTGCTCGGAATTTAAAAAATCTGAAATTCGAATACTCGTTTAGTGGTTTATTCGAATAGTAAAATTATTCGAATACTCGAATATTCGAATAACCGAGTATTCGAATAATCGAGTATTTGAATACTCGAGTATTCGACTATTCGTTTTCCGTTCACCGTTTTCCAAGAAGAAAAATCGTTATATCACATCGTTTTTGGCAACTAGCCGCAATGGATGGCGGTTATATTTTTTCCCTTTGACAGCGATTTTTAACACGATTTCAGGAGCTAACTTGTAGCGATTGTATCATCGCGTATCATCAAGGTGATGACGCGAGTCACCAGAACACACACGTAATTTTATATTCATTTGCAGGAGGGTAAATGATGATGTAAATGCTTGTAGAATATGAATAGTTTATTTTATAAAAGTATACAAAGTGCATATAAAGATATTTGCACCTTGTGAATTTTATAATGTTGGTGTATTCGAGTATTCGAATATTCGAGGTTTGACTAGACATAATTATTCGCTTTTTGAATATTCGCATACTCGAATTATTCGAGTTCGATTCCGAGCCCTACTCCAGACATTGGTTGAGGCTATTGTTGCATATTCTGATTATTGGGGTTTTGGTGAAATTGTTGGTTTTGGGGTCTAAATGGATTTGGATTTTTGTTTCGATTGCTTTGAGAAGTTCATCAGTGAAAGAGCTTTGAATGATTGGATTTTGAAAATGTTTCTTTAGGAAGTTGTTTTGAACTTGAGGTTTGGAATTTGTTTTTGATTGATTTTGTAGAAAATTATCTTTCAAAGAGCTTTCACTTGTAAGGGTTTCATAATTTGTAATAATATCAATAGCTGAATCTAGATTTTGTGTATTTTGAACGATGAAGAGAGTTTTTAACTCGGCTGAAATATTTGCCCACAAATTTTGCGTTGCAGTTAATTCGGTTAATTCGTTGTGACTTATTAAATTTACTCGTGCTTCAGTATTACTCATCAGTGTAGATTTTTTTATTTTTACTTGTTATTACTATAATTAATAAACAATATATTCTTGTAACTAAACTTTAAGTTTCTGAATTTAATTTTATAATTTCCAGGTCACTATTGCTACAGTTATGACTAGAAAATATAACGTTAGGAGTAACGTTACTTGAATTGATTTAACTGAATTATTTCGTTGAAAAAAAAATGCAAGGCAATTGTTTCTGTTTAATTGTCGAATAAAAAAAAAACAAACAAGCAAGCAAGTTTGCATTACATTTATACATAAATGAATGCTTCAATGCTTTTTTGTTTCTGTTTCTTAATTAACAGGTTGTCGAACTATAAGAAATAACAAGTGAATGCACTTACAGTTATTTCTAGTCTCTTGCCTTTATCAGGACAACACTTCGCAGAGCAGATAGGCGAACTTCAGCAGGGGAAAAACATCTTATTGACAAGCAAATAGCCATATTTACCACAAACTCAAGTTTTAGATGTATCGAGAACTCGGCAATCAAAAAAGCCATTTATCTGTTGAGACCTGGATACAGTCCTCCTTCTCGAAAAACGGTCGTATCGAGCCTTTTGGATGAGATTTATACTGAAGAAAGAGAGGCATGTTTTTCATCTCTTTCGGGGAAAAGTGTTAACATGTCGATTGACGGATGGTCAAACATTCACAACGAGCCGGTTATATGCGCAACATTATCAACAGAAGATGGACGAGCGCTTCTCTATGAAACCATTGATACTTCTGGAAAGCCTCATACTTCGACATACCTTACTGATCTGGTGTTCGATTTAATTTCCTCGTGTCAAACAAAATTTCAGTGTCAAGCGAGATCTTTTGTAACGGACAATGCCGTTAATATGACCGCAATGAGGAAAACGTTAGAAGAACGGACGAACTCTGAAGTTATAACTTATGGTTGCTCTTCGCATTTACTAAATCTGCTTTGTAAGGACTTACAGGTGCAAGATGTCAAAGAACACATAGTCCAAATTGTTAAATATTTCCGCAACAACCACATGGCCAAAGCCAAATTCAGTGCAGCTGGAGGCAAGGGACTAGTACTACCTAGCGATGTTCGCTGGAACAGCGTGGCCGACTGTTTGGAAGCGTATGTCACACAAT